CCTTGACGAATAATTCGGCGTAATCACTCGCCTTCATGGTCGTCCGAACTGGCAGAAAATGGGCAGACTTCGTAAGGTGATCCACTATCACCCAAATCGAATCATACCCGCTCCTCGACTTTGGCAGTTCCACTAAGTAATCCATGGTGATGCACTCCCACTTCCACAGGGGAACCTCAAGAGGCTGCAACAACCCTCTCGGTTTCTGGCGCTCAGCCTTCACTTGCTGACACACCAGACACCCATCCACGAACTTCGCTACCTGCCTCTTCATGCCTCGCCACCAGAAAGACTTCTTCAGGTCCTGATACATCTTCGTGCTACCAGGATGGATGGTGTACGGGGCACTATGGGCCTCTCTCAAGATCTCCCTTCGCAGTTCCCACACCTTCGGGACACAAAGTCTACCCTCGAAGACCAAGGCTCCATCAGATACAACTACGAATCCACCAATTCTACCGGCTTCCGACAACTCTCTCATCCGACATAGGAAACGGTCATTCGGTTGCTCGGCGACTATCCTATCTCGAAGAGTCGGTCCCACAACCAAAGAGGCCAACTCGCCCTTGGCTGTCGAGGTCGACTCCACTGCCTCCAACTGTAATCGATCGAACTCCCGAAGAAGAACATCCTGCCTGGTGAATAAGCAAGATAGCTAGCCATAACTCCTCCGACTCAGGGCATCGACTACCACATTGGCTTTCCCAGGATGATAGCAAATGGTGCAGTCGTAGTCCTTGACCAGCTCCAACCATCTACGCTGCCTCATGTTCAGCTCCTTCTGAGTGAAAATGTACTTTAGGCTCTTGTGGTCGGTAAAGATCTCACACTTGCCTCCATAGAGATAGTGCCGCCAAATCTTCAAGGCGTGAACAACTGCAGCTAACTCAAGATCATGAGTGAGGTAATTCTGCTCGTGAGGCTTCAGCTGCCTCGAAGCATAGGCTACGACTTTCTCCTGCTGCATGAGAACACAACCCAAGCCCATCTTCGAAGCATCACTATAGATGGTGAACTCCAAAGTAGGGTCGGGTATAGATCGGACAGGCGCGGTAGTGAGTGTAACACCCCGCCTTGACATGAAAATCAGAGTGCGCAATTCGCAATTACATTTAAAATAAAATATTTTTCATTGCGAAATACTGATTCAGAGTGCTACTAAAATACATAACTGACTGATAAATCTGAACTTATGGTTTTGAAAACCAACTAACAGCTTGCTGACTGGTTAATGGGCTAAGTTTGACAAACAGTAAAACATCAGCGGAAGCTGTAGCTGGGAATTTGGTTAGCAGTGCCGAAATCATGAAAACATGTTATCTGAAAGTTATATCGACACTCCTTTGCCAAATTCGTTTTGTACATAACATAATTTAAGCTTTATAAGCATAATCCCAAACAGCTCCGTCATCTCACTCCTCCGTCCCGACGTCATGACCTGAAAAACATGATAAAAGTGGGTCGTGAGCACTCAAGTCAACTGTGCTCCGTGGAAACTCATACTAAAGTAAACAGTGAAAATAATTATAATAACATGATCGTGGCATGAACATGAACATGAAACTGATAACTGATATCTGGTACCGGTCTGAATAATCTGATACTGATCTCGTGACATAAGTCACGTCTGAACTGAACCTGAACATCTGCCGGCAAAGTCGGACACTATGTGCACACTCTAGTGGGCAGATTAAGGCCACTAGAACCCAGAATGGACTGGCGACCATTCCAAGTGGATACTGAACTGGTAATACATACCTCAAACATGGTAGAATAATTATAATCAATGTGATACCCAGTCTGAGTCCCCACCTGAACTACTGATCTGAAAATGTAAGTGCTGATATCTGTATCCTGATCAAACTGAAAATAATATAAACAATTACTAAATACTATGCTCAGACTGATAAAATAACTGATTAATATGTTAAGATGCTCTACT